TGGTCCTGGTAGATAATTTTTTAAGGCAAACCCATCTCAAGCATCCACACCCACAATTAGGTAAGACTACCAAATGCATCAGGCATACCAATATTTTCTTACACGCTTTAAGAGAATATTAGTTCCCAACATAATATTCTTCATGAAGAACTTTACTTTGCCAGTCCTAACAACACTAATACCTATCAATTACGTGTCATATTGTGCTTTCTTAAGATTTTAAACACACAATATCCCAGTAGAATCCCTCCTCTCATTTCACAGATGAGTCAATTAGTCACAGACAGAACAAATGGCTCACCCCAAATCACACAGAATTAGCTTATGGTAGACTCACAGGTAACGAAAGTCAGGAATTTGAGTAATCGATGTCAGTGTTTCAATTCATCCAAAAAATCAACCCTAAATATGCAGATGTCAGTGGTGCAAGGCTAGCATGGTACTTATTTCATTGATTTTAAAGATAGGTAAGTGCTACAGTTTATTCCTTTCATGAAAGCACACTAATACATTTTTCAGTGAATTAATAAAAGTTGAACTTTATTGAAAAGGTATTTAGATGAGGGCCTTCGACATGTCAGGAACTGTTCCTGATGCTTTAGATACCAGTGAACTGAGGAACAAAATGGGAAAAAATCCTGGACTTCATAGAGTCCATCTTCTAGCAAAAGAGGCAAAAATAAGCAGGGTAATAGCTAAATAAATAACCATTCTTGTATATTAAAAATAAATGCTTTATGAAAACAACAAAAAAATGAGGCAGAGTAAAAGGCATCAGGACTGCTGGGGGATCGACAGAGAGGAGTATTTATTAGGTTGGTCAAGGTGGGCTTTATTGGAAAGGTTAGATCACAGATTGAGCTGCAATGAACAATCCATGCAAATATCTTTTTTGCAAAGTGATTCTTGGTCTTTTGGATATACTCCTAGTAGGAAATTGCAGGATCCAACGGCAGGTCAGATTGTTCACTGCATCTCAATATGTAATAGCCAAGTCAGGGAAGAAGCCCAAGTGCCCATCGACCCATGAATGGATTAATAAATTGTGGTATACATATACCATGGAATACTGTGCAGTCTTAAAAAAAGATGAAGCCTTTACCTCTTTTATGTTTATATGGAGGGATCTGGAACATATTCTCCTGATTAAAAATAACTCAAGAATGGAGGAAAAAGTATCTAATGTACTCAGTACTTCTATGAAACCAATTATATTTACTCATACTTTCTTATGAAAGATAGATCACAACTATAGCCCAGGATGAAGGAGAGTAATGGAGTGGGAAGGGAGGGGATCAGGGAGGGCTGACAGAGGGAGGGTAAAAGGTGGGACCACACCTATGGAGCATGTGACAAGGGTAAAAGTCAAATCTGTCAAGTGTAGAACATAAATGTTTGGCACAATAGTCAAGTAAATGAGGTGAAAGCTATGATGATTGGTTTGATATAACCACATCAGACTGTATAAAAAACCCCCAGCACATTGTACCCCACACATGCATGAATGTATTCATGATCTATGTGTATTTGACTTAATAAAATTAAAAAAAAAAAGAAAAGAGAGCGTCCTGGTGCCAGAAAGGAAGCGGATGTGACTGAAGCAGTGTTAGCAGGGAGAACTGTGTAAGGTGAGGCCGAAGAAAGGGGGACAGATGAAGGGAGGCCTTGCAGGCCGACACGAGAAATCAGCTTTTGTTATAAATGAATGGGGCACCACTGCAGGGCTTTGAACATGTGAGGGGCATAATCTGAATTCAATTTTTAAAGGGATCTATTATTAATCATTAAATACCTTAAAATTTTTATCACTCATTATATAATCTTTGCCATACTCATGACTCATAACAGACTCTCCTCCTCTCAGAATAAAATACTATTACTCCCATTTTCCCACAGAAAATATCAAGTCTCAGCATGTCTAAGTAACTTGTCTGGGGCAACACCTCCTAAGTAGGAGAGACAGCGGGAAGAAACAACGGTTCTAATTCACAGTTCAAAACTGGTTCCTCTGGCCTAAGGACTCATCTATATTAAATTTATAAAGAGAAAACATGGTAGGTAAGAGTCATTAACCGGATTATCCATCAGTAGAGCTTTTCAGTTTGATGTATTAAAATGGAATCAAACTCATTTTCCCTAACTATGAGTTACAGGGACATAATGACACAGGTAATTTCCCTGAACTTTCTATTCAGAATGACAGACGCACATTCAGGCTGAGAATTTTGAATTCGGGTAATTGCAATGCAAATTTACAATGGTACATTTAGAAAGTTATTCAAAGTCTTCAATTATTGTCATTTCTTGACTGTCTAGTCAACACCGAGTAACCATGCCGAATACACTGCATCGATCACATTTCATGCTCATCAGAAACTCAAAGCATGGTATTAGAAATCCCATTTTATAGACGATAGGTCTGGCTCCAGAGAAGCCAAGAATGGAAGTTCACAATTCCTAAGAACCAGAGGTGGGATTTTACCTAAATCTTCACAGTCTACCCAGCTTCTCTGCACACTAAGTCTCCTGCAGCGTGACGCTCAATGTACCCCCTCAACATTCCTCACTACAAGGTCAGCCAGAGATGAGTAGTCCCATTTTCCAGATGATTAACTGTTCAAAGTAAAATTAATCATGCATCAGCATTTATTTATGGCCACGATATGCAAATCGATATTTAGCTGCTGAAAGAACAGAGGATTTATGATACTCGGTGAGCTTACAATCTTACTAAGGTAACAAGAGACACATAAAAATGTCATAAATCATACAAGACAGCCTATACTAAGTACAAATGTGACATAGAGCCAACAACTGCTGAAAACCAAACTCAACAGAGAGAGAAATGAATCCAAGGACTTCGATTCAGTTAAGAAAGAACTTTACTAAAGAGACTCAGTGTTGTGATGATTTTTTTAAATTTGAAGTTAATATGAAGGTACAAATGTTTAGGTTACATGGTTCTCACTTTCAAGGTCAAGTGCAAGTTGTAGTGGAGCCCCTCACCCGGGGGCATGATTTTTATAGGAAAGGCAAGGTTTAGATCAGCAGAGAGGACCAGAAAAAACCATTCCAGGCGAAGGGGATCACTTAGAAAGGCCAAGGGAACAGATGGAAAAGAATTCACAAGCGAAAATGAACAGAAGCATCTGAAGCGCTGGATGAGTGGGAGGTGAGGTAGCGAATGAGGCCAGTGGATCAGAGCGTGGAAAAACTGGTTAAGTCAGGAAGCAAAGGGAGAAGGGGAAGGCTTGATAATTGTTGAACTGCTAGTATGCAGCACGTGTTTTGTGTACTCTTTTTCCCTGTGCAATCCTTGCAACAACGCTATCAGGTAGAAAGCTGGGTATATCAGGGCCATTTTAAATTCTCTTCCAAGGCATAGCTTTGGGTGTATGCGTGGAGCAGAACTCCCGTTTAGATCCGTGTGCCCCCAAGGCCTATGTTCTTCCCAGCGCGCCGCATCACCAAATGCAATGGAGAACCACAGAAAGCATTAGGTTGAGAGCAGAGTAAATATGAAAAGGATTCTAAGACTAAAAGCAGACTAATCTGACTATGAGATATTAGTACAGGTTCAATATCAGAGGTCCAGGGAAGATAGCGAGACCAGAAAAGCTACTTAGTCTATTGCATTAACCCACATAAGGTAGAGAAATCTCTACGTTAGTGTGAGCAATGGAATAAAAAGGATGCAAGAGATATTCAAAGGCAATATAAAGAGATCACGGCAATATTAAGTCTTTATACAGGCAGTTTCTACTATACAATCAGACACTCAGAGGGTAAACGTTCTTCCTAAAAACTCAGAGACTAAGTTGACAGTCTGGCTTGAATATTTTAAGATTGTTTTGGACAGCACATAATTTATTTAAGATATTAAAGTTTATGGCTGAGAAAATCTATGATCCCTCCCTGGGAGTTCTCTCTTAAAATGCAGTCAAAATTCTCTCTTAAAATGCAGTCAAAAATTCAAGTCAAAAACTAATAGCAAATAAATGGCATATCATTTAATAAGTTGGGTCTCTAACTTTTTCTTACTCCTGGACAATTCAAACCACACAACTGCCAAAGATGTATATAAAATTGACAACCACCTATATTTTTCAAAGGAGTTACTTGCATAAATGTTCAGGGCTCTAGGCAATACACATCTTTCCAAGCAACTTAATCTTGTAACAACCAGACTAACTATATGAATCCTTGATTAGCATCAAGTGTTCAACTAAGGTGTCTTAAGTTTGTATTAATATTGAAAACAAACATCTTAACAATTATGAAATATACATGTGATAATTAAAATTTAACCAATTATCCTACCCTGATTTCCTTTACTTTTTTGATGAAAATAGACTTCTTTTTCTGAGTTGAAAATTAACCAAAATTGAAACTAAACCATGCCATAATCCAATAATTTAGGCCTATACATACTGTGTATCTAAAACATCTTTGAAAAGCTTCAAGAAGGCCAAACCTGTGCTTTAGTTTAGAAATATCATAGACATGTCATAGACATATCATAGACATCATCATAAAATCCTAAAAGGTGTTTCTGTCATATTTCAACCCAGATAATCTTATATTTTTCTGTTCCTTATTCCTGCATATATAAACTGTTGTAAAAGAATCACAAAAGAGAAAAAAGATATTATACAAGCACATCTGCTCAATAATGTTAGACTTTAATATACTACAAGTTAAAAAAACTTAGCCTTTAGAAATAAAGTAATTTTTTAAAAATAAAGTAATTTAAAAACTTCATACAGGAAGTCTGGGTTCCATATACCTCTAGGCATTCTATGAAAGGTATCTTAAATACATACAAGTATACAAAAGGAATAACAGATAATGTTTATTCCACATACTTCACTTACTATTATCTACTACCTTAAAGAAATATTGATGCATTCATATATCAAATATATTAAAATGGGAATATTACTCTTAACTTTGAAAGGCATTATTTTGTGAGAGTTTAAAGAAAGGAAAACTATTTTTACCTCCCAGTCCTGGTCTAAGCCGATTATCGTAGCCATCCAGAAGTCTGTCTAGAATTCTCGTAAAGATGGTGATGTTATTTTTAGCCTCATCTTCTTGGATGTTAGCCAGCACCAACCTAAACAGATAATTTTGTAAGCTGATATATATATATCACATGTGTGTTTTGCAAATGCCAACATGCTCTCCTTCCTTAATTTGAATTTTAAGGCTCCATAAGCTATTAGTGTCATCACCCATTTTCCTCCTTTTCTTCACTTCTATAAACACCAGCCTGTCTACAGAGAAGATAAACTCGCTATTGAAAACAGATAGTAAACAGTACACTATCACAAGTTCAAGTTCGAGGTTAACATTGTTCCCGCTTTCTTTCAGTTAGCACTCTATGTGGACTCTTCATTTTTTTTCAACATCCATCCCTAGAATGTATTATGATCGCAGATTCTTCCATGCATAGTGCTATTCTGCAGTTAGAAAAATGTAATAATCAAAGGGACTCCTGCAATACTCTTCAGTGTTCTGAATATTAATTGCAAAATAAACTCCCTCCTGGGAGGTATAACATTTTTCTATCTCCCTCATAAATGTTTCTTTTTCTCTTTCTGTCTTTTTTCTCTTCTAAACCAGGATAATTTTCTTACTTTGGGTATACCTCCACCCAATGGCCGAGCTTAATACAGACATCAGGGAAACTCCTCTGGCTGCAAGCCAGGCTCTACTGTAGCCAGGAGGTGGAGGTGGGCTCTGACGCCTCAGCCACAGACACAGCTGCAGAGAGCTCAGCTCCCAACTGGTCTCAGAGAGGAGCAGGAAGGGGTGAAGGAAAGATGACAGAACCCAGATGATTTCTTTTTGATGATAAATTTATAGAAAGAACAAATGGTCTTAAAATATTACCAGAAAGGGTTTAGAAATTTTGATTTTTCTCCATCATAAAGCCAGACATTTGATTTTGTGACATCCAACAATTTGGTAGAGAAGCAACTAATGTATAAAACAAAATGTCCCTTTTCACTGCCATTTTTTTTTCTCAGAATGATTCAGAGATTTAAATTACTGGCTCTAAAAAAGAATCATTTATATAATACAATAAAATACTGGCATAAGCATTACCAGCCAAATACAGAACAAAAAACTAGTATTTTTTTGAAATATTAGCTGAGAATTTTCAATGATTATTAATCGATCATACATTGTTCACTCCTTCAAAATCAAAGATTATTGTAATTACATTCTGATCAAGGTGCATTGTGCAAAACAGAATTGACAGTGCACATTTGCATTTAAATGAGTACAGAACTAGTAGCTAAAAATAATCATAATACATAAAAAGTTAGTAGCTAACTTCAGTTTTGGCAGCAGAGAAAATATTAAAACATTGCCATGACTATAAATACTTAAAAATTGATAAGTATACTAGTTTGTACTCCGTAGCCTGAAAAGTTCTTATATTGATTATTTAATTTTAAAACCCATCCCTAAGATGTTCATAAAGTTCTAAACAGATATTTTCACTCAAAAGTATTTCTTAATCACATTTCATATTTTCTCCCTAATGTCAATATGCAATTGTCAAGTAATTAGATATTTTCCAATTGAAAATGAGAGTGTATCCATACATATCTCCTCAATTCTAAAAAAAAAAAAATTATACTTTGACCATTACTTGAACAGGAAATTTAAAAATTAAAAGGGAAATAGAGGCATAATAAAAACTGGTTTTTCTAAAGGGATGGTTATGAGAACATTCTTAAGAAATATGTATTTTAAGGCTGCTGGTGTTTTGAAACTCATACCCTACATCCATTAAGTAAAACATGTCCACTCATGATGAAAACCAGAAAAGACTGTACAACTAAGACAAACTCATTGAAAGCAACAAAAATTAACTTCACGTTTGGAGAGCATAGGGCAAAGAAAATTTATTATATATTTGAAATAAGTATTCCTTATGGCAGCAACCATTTGAGGAAGAAAAGGTCTGTAAATTAATAATATAAAAAGTTGATTAATAAATCAAGCTTTTGTTTTATTGTTTGTGATTTGGAAGTTGTATACTACCTCCACCTAGAGGTTTAAGACTCACACACCACTTGGGTTTTCTCTGTTGACTAAAAAAATCCAAGACCATTATCAAGAAAAGAGAGGAAAATGGAGTGAACACTCCAATCTTTTAGCTGGTACTTCTCTATTTGACTTGAGGGCAGCCTTGTCATTACAAGCACATATAACTTAACCAGTTCAATTCCTCTGCTGCACAAAGAATATTCTTTCCTTTAGGGAATTTTTTTTGTATGAAAAACATTTCTGTTCACTTTTTTATTTTATCACCGAAAACAAGAAGTAGTGAACTTGTTACAGTCTCTGCCACTTCACAGTTCACTTTCCTGGTACAAACCTTTTTCTGAATAATCATTCTTCAAAACACTCTAGGTTCTTAAAAGCCACCCTGTACTGATGGCATTCCCGAAACACACCTTCCCCTGGAATTCAGAGTCAGACACGGTCATCAGCATCTCACCTGGCTGGGTCCCACACTAAGAGCACAAGCAGCAGCAACTGCATGGTGTGGCTGTTCGGGGTTGTCTTCATCGGCGCTCTTTGCCAAGCCATAGAAGGAAACCAAAAGACACTTAAAATCGCCTTCAGTGCCACTAGCCAAGGAGCCCCCCACGAATGTCCTGTTAATTAGGAATTGGACTTAAAGCTTTGGAGATGACTCCAGTGAGCTGAGTGTAGAGTGAGAAAGGGAATTTCTTTCTTTCCTCCTTTTTTTTTTTTTTTTTAACATCAAGGTGACCAAGTAATCAGACCTGGCTATGCCAGGAACTTCCCCCAGCCTCATGGCCAGCAAACACCGTTTCGTGCTCACGTATAATAACACCCGGGATTCCAAACTGACATAGGAGCAGCAGAGACTGGGTTTGAGGGGAGAGTGGAAAGGGGAGGGGAGCGGAGAGGGTTCTTCACGCCACAACCCCCTCAACCAAGACCACCCCCGCAAGCACAGCGGGAGGGGGGCAGGGACAGCCAGCCCACTTTCTCAATTATTCTTTTCATTACAGTGAATTGCGGAGCTCACGTCTTCGCTGCTTCCCTCCCCCTAACAAATAAAATAATTGAAATCAAATCAAATAAAAATCTCCTTTCTTGACCACCCACAGTTGCCCAAGACCACATCTCGGAGGAAGCTAGGTTCGGATCAGGAGCTGCGAAATGACGCCTTTGACAGCTGCTGGGAGCCGAGGACCACAATGAGAGGAGGCTGGAGGCTCGGATCAACCCAGCCGGGCAGGCAGCGGCGATCTCAGCGTGCAAAGTTGGAGACTCTGAGAGAGCCAGGCTAACGCGCTGCCGGGCAGCGGCCGGGGTTTCATTGTAGTTGTAAATATGCTTCTGGGGATAAGTATGGAAATTATTTTTTAAACGGGCTGGGGGAGGAAGGGGGAGAAACGGTCCTCCTCAGTTCCCGGGGAGCACCCGAGACGGGGTGGGGGAGAGCGGGCATGCACACGAGGCGAGGCGAGCGGGAAGGGGTCCCCGCGGGGACCGACGTGTGCGACCCTACCTGAAACAGCGAGCAGAATTCGGTGTTTTCCTCCCTTTGCCCTGATCTTGAAGAGATAGAAAACTTGAGAGAGAGCGAGAGAGAGCGAGAGCGAGCGAGAGGCTGCCGCAGCCGAGTGGGGAGCGACGGGCTGGTGTAGCCGAGGGGAGCGCGCGGAGCGGCGGCAGCGGCGGCGGCGCGAGGTGTAGAAGGAGGCGAAGGCGTTCGTAGTGGCTGTGATGGGCGGAGGAGAAGGAGGAGGAAGAGGAGGATGAAGAGGAGGAGGGGAAGAGAGGGCGGGGAGAGGAGGGGGAGAGGCACCCGGAGCTCGGGTGCGGGGAAGCGGCGTGCGGAGGCGCGGTGCGCGCCGGCGGCGGCGGGCACGAGCCCCGCGCCTGGAGGAGGAGGAGCCTGGCCCGGGAGAAGGGTTGACGAGGTTCCCCGGAACGCAGGGACCCCCCCTCCCCCGCCCCTAGCCCCGGTAACCGACCGCCGCCCTCCCCGCAGTCGCAGCCCGGGGCGGTGTTGGCGCCCGGAGCGCTCGGAGACGCCGCGCCCGAGGAGCGGAGCCCACGCGCCGCTCGGAGCTGCTCCCCGCGGCCGCTGCGGCGCTCCGGGAGGCCCGAGGTCCCCGGGGGGCTGCCGGTGGGTGTTGGCGTGCAGTCGAGAAGGAGAAGGGGCGGGAGGCCTGGACCCCGGGGGCCGCGCCCTGCCGCGCGTCCCCCAGCGTCCCCGGGCTGCAGAGCGACGTGGCTGCCGAGCGGAGGGAAAGAGGCGCCGCTCCCGCTGCAGGGCGAGGGGACGATCGCGCCGTTACTTAGTCATCAGCCATCCACGCAGGACCCAGTGAGAGCATGTGGCGTGGAATCGGCAGGAAGTTTATTTGATTTCCTGAGCCCTCTTCATATCCCACTGGTTCCTGCACACTCCTGCCGTCAGGACCGGGTTCTGCTCTAAGCTTCGAGGGTTGGAGAGTCCCCAGAGCTAGGCGCGGTGAAGACCCTTTGCAGATCGCGCACACCCGGGGAACCCCCCTGCGTACGGCGTCAGCAGTCCGCTCCCCAACCGCTTTTTCCCAGACAGCTTCCTTATCAGGTGATCAAATTCAATCAACAGCTCTAAAAAGTTTACATTACCCCGGAGCCAAAAGGGACCTGGGAGCTTCTACTGTCCGCACCTCGCGGGGGCGGGGACTGGGTCTGTGGTTTCCCCCCTTCGGGGCTTTTTTTTTTCCTGCAAAGGGACTGGTAATTCTCTTCCCATCTCACACTTTGAGCGCCGTTGTGTTTGATCTGTCTCATTGCTCTTCTATTTTATCTGAGGCGATAAAATCCAAAGGTGCGACTGGAACAGAAAAAAGACACGTTTTCCTTTCTGTACCTCATAGGAGACAAATGTCGTGCACGTTCTACTAAAGCAAAGCGGAGACGAGGTTTATCTCTCCCAGAAGTTGTTAGAAACGAGAGACACTTCAAAGGAATAAAAGAGAGAGAAAGCGTGCTGATAGGTTTCCGTCATTTTTATATTCAGAGTCAATATGTGCCACACACTTCAATTTTTTCAGTTATGCACCAAAAATTCAGATGTTTTTCCTAGATGGTGCAGCTATCCTAACAGGCACTGCTAATCTATAGTAAATTTTAGCTTTGCTTTGAAGATGATGTGAGGAGAGTAACACCTTTACATTGTAAATATTTCAAGCTGTCCCTTTTAACCTATTAATCACCACTTTCTGGATCAGCATTTACTATGCTACAACCTAAACAAACATTTACTCTCTTATTTAGCTGGCTCTGTGAAAAATGGAACACTACCCAGCTCTCTCCTCTGTCATTAATATTCTTTTCCTGACTCGCCCATTGCAGAACCTAATTGAAATTCACAAAGATAAAACACATCCCATTTAAAACCTTGCAACCAGGGAATCCAAACATCTTATAGTTGGCTGAACACTTCACTTCCTACTGTATATTTTCCTGTTTTCCATTTCTGTGAGCCCATCTTCATTAAGATCTCTATCACTTTGCTATTTATACCACTACTAAATTGTTTATATTTTGATAATGCAAGTTGCACAGTGAATAGTTTCTTCCCAGCCTTAATTGCTGAACTCCAGATAAATTTCTCTTTTATAAATGTCACAATTTTTGTGACTGTATTTCATATATTATTCTCATACTTAGCGCTATGGTCTTTTCCCTAGATTATGACACCAAATTACAGATTTTGGTTTTAATTGCTTTATTTCAATTTTTTATCGATTGGAATGCTATGTTCTGAAAAATCAGTTTTGTCCTGTAACACCCTTATTAAACTTGTAATTTTATTGACATAAAACCCACTTCACGAAGTTCAAACTATTTTCCATGGTTTCCCCCATTTGCTTTATTCTCTTTTGTATGTTAGGAGAGTCCACGGATTTAGATATGCATTGACTAACAGAAGACCCACAGGAAAAATTAGATTATTTTAAATTTTATTTTAAGGTCCTGAATTTTAGTTCTTCCACACAAAATGTTTTATAATTATGCTAATACTGGATAGCTATGGTTTAAACTTCAAAGCACATTAAGAGAAATGCAGATGGGAGCAGCTGATTGCAGTCTGCAGACCTCTCCTTTATGGCCGTATGTATACTGATAGTTCACCTTGAAACTAGGCCAGTCTAATGTCTCTGGAAATTTGGAGGATTGTCCAGCTTCCCTAAACATCTGACAAATCCAGCCTGACTTTCTTCTCTGCTCTGTGAGAGAGTCCAGGTTAACTGCCTGAGATTGGAAAGCCAGTCTGTGTGGGTCCTGACTAAGCTCTTCCTGCCCACTCTTTTGGAAGCTGTCCTTAGGCAGCCAACCCTGGGGAAGAATGGACCACTAATTGGCTGCCAGTAAATCCGTTCCCACCAAGGCTTGGGCAGTGCAGAACCTTCTCTTTTGAACTTATTTAAATTACTCTCCCACAGATTAGATGGGAGGGGAGGGAAGTCCTCAATTCTTATATATTCCCCATCCTCACCATCTGAGGTCCTAAGGAAATTTCTACATGGAGACCAAAATCGAAAGAAAGATGAAGAACTGAGGGATCTTGGTTTTATCTGATTGTTTTTTCTTTACTGATACATCATGATATTGTACGGCTGCTGCAGGTAACTACTACTTCCTACAGCCGATGGTTCTTCATGCATCTTTAAGCTTTGTGTAAGATGATATGTAGGTAAGCATACCCATAACATACAGATGTGGGTCTGTCTGTAGATAAATGGGCAAATATATGCACAAACTAATAAAAATAGACAAGAGGATTTTAGTAAGACTGGCATTTAAACAAAATGTTTCTACAAAATGTATTTACTCTTAATTACTACATAATGTGGATCACAGGGATTTTTACATACTTGAAGAAAAGTATCAGGATTACTTTAACAGGAATAGTAATCGGGTACTATTAGGAATAGTCCCTCACAATATTTAATTATTAAAAATATGAATATTTCATATAATACATTTGTAAACACTTCAACTACATCTCATTTTATGTGATGCATTCCTTTAATGAGGAAATACGTTTATGAAAAATTAGAAACGGAAGCACAGGTTACCCTGTTTTCATAGAATTGAATATTATCTTGTATTTTTTCCCACTGAATGCAATACTAATTCCGAAATGTATTTAGAGTTTAAGTCTGAGCCTGTTCTCACATATTCACAGAATTACAAAAAGAAAGAAAGAGAAGGAGGGAGGGAGGAAGAAAGAGAGAAAAGAAACTGGAACCCTCCCCATTTGGCAATTGGCAGTTCCCAGATCTAAAACATGATGACTTGGTCAAGCTCCATTTTTCCAGCAAGTTGAGTTTAGGGGTAAGGATAGGCTACAAGATTCTGAAAGAAGAACAGCTGGAAAGTAGGAGTAACTAGTTTGAAGTATATAAACAAATAGTTCTAAAACTACCTTCTTCCATTAATGTATGTAGGTCACATTTCATTAGAGCTAAATTTGCCATGTATACTGGCTGGAATAAACCATGCACATTACCTACTTCGAATAGTTC